GATTGCATTATCCTAAGGATTCAACTGCTGATCTGCAGATTGTTTTGGTCCAGTGTCCATCTCATGAGCAGTTAGGGCCAGCTTGCTCTATTCGGTGGCCGAGGTACAAGATTTCCGCTGCTTTCTTATGGCACTGAGGACGGGGTGCAGCCTAAATAGCCCAGGCAGAAAGACAGCAGCAGACAGGGCCGAAGTCCTCCTTTAGGCAACTAGCTACACAACATTTCAATGTGACTTTCTGCAGTGTTTGTTTAGTGCTCTCTGGGCTGTGCTCAGCTTCTGTAGCCCAGGAGCAGCTGGTGACACCTGCCAACTTCATGCTGCATTTAACTTTACTATGGCTTTTTAGCTTCCTTTAATTAAAAAAGATCTCCCCATGTGCCATAGCTTCAAGTGTCAAGTTGGTTGCTCCTAGCAGCTTGTGGGTTGGGGGCATGGAACTGGTTTCAAGTTGAAGGCCTCAACTTAAATTTGGAAAACCACGCTGGTAGCTGCAGTCCAAAAAGCGAACGAGAGCAGACTAGGCATGGAATGTTATCCACTAAAATTAAAAGCAAGTTAATAAAACACCCTTGATATGGTTATGGTCCAAATGTTTCATCATGTTTCCCTTGCATCATGTTATAAGCTGCAACTTGAGGACATCTTCGGGCCAGACTCTGGGAAGCTCAACATTTCAAGGACAGCCTTTGAATTCCAGGTTGTGCATCTTTGCTGAAGACCAACTCTTTGAAACTGGGATAAAGCAGAATCCTCAACCGGTCTTTTAATGATACGTCCACCCCTACCCACTTTTAACCCGAACTAAAAGGGAACATTTTTTTCTATTTTTCCAAATTCCCAAAAGTCTTCTGTCTTTAGGAATGAATCTTCCCTTGGTCTCCCTCATTCTCAGGGTCTTTTTTGCAAGACAATGGAGGGTGTCATTTTTTTTAACCCTTTCTATTCCAAGCTTCTGTATCATCCTACAACCTCTCTGGTTGCCTGTTTTTGTTCTGAAAATATGCCTGGAAGAAGTGTCTTCCTATGGTCTTCTCTTGAGATTTCATATAAAAAGGGGCAGTGGGGACAATGCAGACCAATGGAGATGTGATGATCCAGTAAAAGAGCACATTCACATATACCACTCAGTCACCTTGTTCTTAAGATAAACCCAAGAATGCGCGCACTATGCATGGAAAGTTCAACAACAACAACATTAATCCCCTTTGATTTATTCTGAAATGGAAAGTCCTTTAGAAAATAGGCATTTTTTTTAAAATGCGAAAGGAATGCTGGACGTGGAGGTGTTCTGTTTTGCACTGGGCTGCCTACTCTGTATTTTGGTTTGGGTTTATAAATGCTATTTTCTGTAGGTGGTTAGTGTTATGTGCGAATCTGAATTGGGGGTGGGTTGAACATGTGATTAGGATACTGGCTTATCAGGGTAGATAATGGGCCTTTTGGAATGGAGTTGTCACATCACTGAGGATGATTCCTGCTGGAGTGCTGTGCATTATTTACTTTGTCTGTCTTCCAAGATGTCCCCTACTGTCATGGACTTTCTACCAGTTCTGTGTTGCATCAAACAATTCCCCCACTGGGGGATGATTTTAGGCAATCTCACCAGAGATGTTTCCTTTGTGCCTCTCTCCATAACAACTCTCTCCTGCTAGCACTCACGTGTTGGGTTGGGGAGTGAGCCATCTACATCCAAGGTTCTTGGCCCAGGCATGAAGCATTGCTACAGTCAGTGAACTTGAGTGCCTCACAATTTCAGCACTTCACCCTCCAAGCTTTCTTCCAAGGCTGTCCCCATGGCCAAACTGGCCAGATTAAGTTGGAGACGTCTATGGTAATCTGGTATACAGTCAGACAAGGTGGTATCCCTCTTCTGCACCTTACGTTACAGATTTGGCAATAGTGCATCCATTACTCCATCCCCTCTTGGCAATCCTTATATTTGGAAGCGGCAACATCCGCACTGATCGGATAAGCCATACAGAACGGAAGCCCACAAATGGGAGGCGCATCCATTGGCAATCACATCAAGTCCCAGGGAGTCAACCTCAAAATCAGTTTGTTGGCATCACTGGACAACAGGTAACATCAAACCTTTTGCAGCGGGAGCAGGTGGACCCTCTGTCTTTCGGAAATGATCTCTTTTCTTTCTTCTTGGAATGGATCCTTTGTTCACATGTTTCCACCGATCCACAACATCAAGGACATCATTGGCAAGCTTCCTCCAGGGCATTTCCCTCCCAGAGTTATGCTTGGTAGCACATGGACTTAATTCTTCACATCTCTGGACCTATGCTCCCAGAAAGATGCACGTTATGGAAGCATGTCTTCTCTTTAACCACCCAGACTCTCCTCCAGGTAGAAAGCTTGCTGTTTACCCCATATGGGAATCTGAGACTACGATGGAGAAGGGCTCATTGCTTACCTACAACTGCAGTTCTTGGAATGGTTGTTTGTGAATTTACACACCTCACCTCCTGCTCCTCTTGGTTTCAGGCTACCTCTTTCTTCATTCAGATCTCCTCTGCTGGACCCAGTACAGGGGTGGGGGAGCAAGACTCATCTGAAACGATTCTCTAAGCTGTAGAAAGTTCTGAGTGGGGTTATGTGCTTTCACCTGTATGAATTCACAGGTAACTACTGAAAGAATTGCATGAAGATAAGTAACCAGTACTTACTCATATTCTTGAATTGGGCACTTTGCTTTCATAAATTCCCTTATCTCTTCATTACCACCTGTTGGTTAATTATTTTCAGATTTTCAAATTACTGCAGCCTTCGGTTTAATTAAAATCCAGTTGAGATTCATTTAACGTGCTTGCAAAAGGGCTACGTTGCAAGCTGTCATTTGCAATGGCTGGGTCAGTGTCACATTGCAGGTAAGTAAAAACCTTATGTTGTAGAGAAAAAAAGACTGAGAACATAATCCAGCAAGGTTGTTACGATAGTGACTCAATATTTTCCCCAACCAGGAAAAATACCCTCAAGATTCAGCATCTATGAATGGTTCTCTAGCCAATGCGAAGCAGTTGCATTTCTTATAATGCCCCCGATGCAATGCTGTTGTGAGGCACTTTGGGAAGTTAAGATGGCAGCTAAATCCAGCTTTGTGGTATCTTAAAACTTTTGTCTGTTGCTACAAGCTACTTGTGGCCCAAGGTCACCTAATTGTAAGTGTAATGGGGCAGAAGGGAAGATGATTAAATACACAAGGAGTGATCATATGAACAGCATTTAGCTAATTTTATTTCAATCTAGTGTAAATTGGAATCCCATTAAAACAGTTGCTTTGTTCTGGCCTCATCCACATGGTAAAGCAAGGCCGTGGTAAATCACTCCAAGATGTACTGTGGCCTTTAGTCCAAAAAATGACTGTGAGTCCCTTGTGTAATAGCACAATCCTGTGCATGGGTAAGAAGTAACGAGCTGTAATGTTTTCTATGAAGTGCACATCCAGAATAATAAGGGTGCATCCTAAATGGATGAAACGAACTTGTTTCTGAACAGTTGCTCCTAAAAATCAAGATATCTGTCACATTAACTACATTGCATTATCTTTACAGGTCGTCCTCGTTTAGTGACCACAGTTGGTACCGGCAACTTGCTCATTAGGTGGAATGGTCACTAAGTGAAACCACAACTGTGCTTATGATCTTACTTCAGCTTTCCTTTGCTTTACAGACCTGTGAAGGTCATAAATGCGAGGGTTGGTCATAAAGTTACTTTGCATCACTGTCATAACTGCGAACGGTTGCTAAATGGGGCAGTCTCTAAATGAGGACTACCTGTACTTTTAATTAAACATCTCTAGTACCATTTCAATTAAAAAAAATTGTGTGAGGGTCAAGGAGGTTTAACTCTTCCCACCTGCCCCTTCCTTTCCACAATTTTCCACCTCCTCAATACCAGACTTTAGAAAATGGGGAATCCCTTTATGATAAAAGTTCTTTTGTATTTCAGCAAGAGGATGAAAGGAAGCAAGTTAAGGTGGCTTTGCAAGCTTGAACCCTTCCTTTTCTTGCACTTGAAGGTCCCAATCCAGGTCAGGACCCTAAGTGCTTATTGAAGCCAAGAGAATAAGGGTATTTTTTGCACTCTGTATTGTTAATGCAACATGGAATGGGCCCCTTCATTGTAAAAAAAAATCTTTTGCCAGTAGTCTCAAAGTGCTTCATTTTCTTGTACCACTGTGCTGAAAAATTCTGCATTTCTTTCCTACCTCTCACTTTTGAAGGAGAAGGGAATGGGGATGGGTGAATTGCACCAGGGCTGTGTTGAAACATGGGGATTGTTCCTATAAATCAATATGGTTTATTTGCTTGGGTTAATCACCTTCCGAGAAGTCTGCTTTCCTGGACTCTTCCCTCTCACATAAACAGCTGTTCCCCTCAGATATCCCACCTTAAAAGTTTCTTGGTTTTAAATGATATTTGTTGTCTTTTTGAATTTATGATTGTTTTTTTATTGGGGTAAGTCTTTTTGGGAAGTTTATTACCCCAAAAGATGGGATATGAATGAATGAATGAATGAATGAATGAATGAATGAATGAATGAATGAATATTCCAATGCGTATTCCCCATTGTGTGCCTGCTTACTCTCTTGCAATCTCTTCCTCTCCAATCTCTCTGCTCTCTGAGGGAGGGGGGGGGGAAACCTGGGTCAGGCCGAGGACAATGTGTACTGACTGTAATGATGATCACATGGCTGAGGGACCTTGCGAAGGTCATAAATGCACACCTTGGTCACAAAGTTATTTTTTCAGTACTGTAACTTTGAACGGTCACTGCACGAGGCAGTCGGTAAGTGAAGACTACTTGTATTCGTTCAGTTCTCCAGTTTGTAATAGTTATTGTCTTGGGTTATTAGCAGCACAGCCTCAAGACTACCTGGTAGGACATTCAAACTCCACATCTCTGGCTTGTTCCAGCTTTTCTGTTTTTTCCTCACCACAGCCCATTCATGCCTCTCCTCCCTTTTCCTCCCTTCCTTTGCTTCCCAGGAAGCTGTGAGAATTGCTGAAGATGTCCGAAAGCCTCGATACTGAAGAAAAGCCTCCTGCTCCTCCGTTGAGAATGAACAGCAACAACCGCGATTCTTCGACCCTCAACCACAGCTCCAAACCGCTTCCCATGGCTCCCGAAGAGAAGAACAGGAAAGCTCGTCTGCGTTCCATCTTCCCGGGAGGGGATAAAAGTAATGTATCAGCCCAGCCAAGGACTTCTAGCCTCTTGTTTTCTCGTGGTTGTTTTTCTGCAGGGGGGTCCATGGAGGGCGAAAAGGTCAAGAGAGCAACTGCAACTGGGTGTTTGGGACTGTGCTCCATTTTTACTTGCATTGTTCATATTTCACATGTCAAAAGGGAATGGGGGTTTGTTACTGTGGGTGCAGTGGACATCTTGATTTTTTTGAAACCCCCCCCCCCCCAAAATGGGCACCTCTAGCTGGACTCAAATGAATTTAAGCATCCCCTATTTATTCTAACTACTTTGAATGTATAACAAATAGCGTTTGATGTATAGCAAACCATTTATAACAAACAGCTTCATCGGTCACATCAAGCCATTGTTTGCTGAACCAAAATTTATGGAATAAGCCACAATTTGTTAGGTTGAGACCCCATATCAGGCCGTGAACTAACACTGACAAACTAGAAGGCAGCATGCTCAGCAAAGTATATAGTAGAGTGAGTTGCTTATGAACCATCAGTTTAGCTGAGCTGTTTGTCAGTTCATCCCAGAATTAAATTTGATTCTATTCTGACTGGCATAGTTATTCTGGACCTGGAAGCCTCATCACCCACTCCCAGCAGTTTTAAGCTGGTGATGGTAGGGATTTACCTGGGCTTCCTGCACATTAAAAGTTTGAGCTAGAATTCACTGAGCTGGGGTTCTTCCTGATTGGTTGGTCTGTGTATCAATCATGTCTTGTCGCTTGAGGAAGGCTATCTTCCTTGGCCCGGGAGATCCCCTTCTTCTCCTTCTCCTTCTCCTTCTCCTTCTCCTTCTCCTTCTCCTTCTCCTTCTCCTATCTGATGAGGCAAAGGGTGTGGCTGGCAGAGCTGAGATGTCATTGGAAAGGATGAGGTTGACTCTTTTTTTCCAACTTAAGCCCTCAAAACGATCTCAAGTGGGGAAAACTGGCCTAATGGGGCTGGGGGGTGGGGAACAGGGGTTGGAAAGATTTTGTAAGATGTTGAGGACTATTTCACACCTTAAGCCATCCAAGCTATGAACAATGAAGACATAAAGCCTGAGTTTTTAGGTTGGGGGTGTGGGGCGCACCTACACTGAAGTTCTAGCATGGCATAGGGGATGGACCCAATAGATAGGCTGCTGCAGTGTATGCCTTGCTCTAGGAAGCGATGCTGTTGGTCCTGATATTCTGACACTCAAATCAGGAATCAAGCTGTGGATGGCACAACCCCCAGTGCGGTTGGAAGAACTTGCCACCATTTACTTGTGAAATATCCAACCATCTTTGTGTGAGATGATCACGCTTCAGAGAAGCTACTGAATGGAAATAGTCCAAAAGATCTGTATATCTCTTGTCTCCATAGGCGTTTGGTTGGACTCACATAGTGCAGCTCACTAGGCTTTGACTTTGCATGATATGAGAACCCAGCTGTATGGTTCAGCAAATGATAGTTAAATAACTATGGCTTAATATGACGTGTGAATCCAATCTATGGCTTGTCAAGTAAAGCATGGCGAAAACGTGCCATGACATAGCAGAGGATGTGAATCAAAATTCTGAGGGTGTATTTGGAAAGTTCCTTAAAAGTGCAACAACTGGAGCATCAGCACTTTTCAGTTACTTATTTTGAGTTCCAGGATGAGGCACATGTCGTATGGAGTATCAGAATAAAATCTCTCTCTCATTCTGTGTAGGCAGTTTAATTGAATGACGTCTTTGTGTTTAAGCAGTCCAATCTTGCTCTGTCTTCACATTATAATTCTCTTCCTCTTAAGTGCAGGATGTGATGTTGGCTAAAAAAGAAAAAAGAAAAGAAATTGCCATTCCTTAGACAGTGAGGTTAAATATAGACTTTCTGATCCATCTTTAATTCTTGTATTAAATGAATTCTTCAATGAAGTCATTACTTATGCGGCCCTATTAAGAAGAGATTTTGTAAATGATGTATGCTGACTTTCCTTGCTGGCATTTCAGCCTTTATGTGACCTTGGCGGATCTATAAAGAGAAACAATAGCCATTTTCTTCTGAGAATTTTTAAAGAAATAAACATTCCTTCACATTTCTTTTCATATGGCCATTTATTCCTTCATATGTATCTCCATAATTCCTTCAGGACCTAATTTCCATCACCATGTTTAAGAGAAAAGGGAGTGTCTAAGCCAAGATTCTCAAGCTCAGCTTGACTCTTAGTGATTTCACCTTCATGTAATTTTCTAGGCAAAGATGTGGTTTCCATAATGGAGAATATGTATAGCTCAGGGCTGAGTTCTTGGGTTCTTGGTGTTCTCTGAGCTTGCTTCTCTTCCTGCAGACATTTCATTGCCAGGCTAGGTAACATCATCAGTGTGGAAGGGAGTGGACTTTGCGGGCTGCTTATATGCTCTCTCTATAAGCCATTCAAGAAAGAAAGCAACAAAAGGTCAAGGAAAAAGGAAAATAAGCCTTAAACATATCCTTTCCCATCACGCCCCAATAGCCAACACTCAGGAGCAGGAACCAGCTCCAGTTAAACAATCAACGAAGAAACAGTATCCCACCCGAAAAGCAATCAAGGAAACAGTGCCCCAGTGGAAGGTGGTAAGACAAATTACCCCATATAAACAGCCAGCAAGTTTCACTACTCTACATACTGATGATGTTACCTAGCTTGGCAATGAAACATCTGCAAGAAGAGAAACAAACTCAGAGAACACCAAGAACCCAAAGATATTGGGTTCTTCTATCTTTTTCTGGGATTTTTTTAAACTTCCCAGTCTACCTTACAACCCAGGGTTTTCCTGATATCTCCCATCCATAGACTAATCAAGTGTGATTATGCTTACTTTTTCAAGATCAGCTGAAGTTGACTAGGCAATGCCACCAGCTGTGACGCACACTTAAAAATACAGGTTATCCTATTACAGGTCATCTTTCTGCTAAACAAGGAATACAGGTGTATTATAAAGCCATAGATAAAATCGAGATATTTCATTGATAGAAATATAGAGGCAGTATCTGGATTTAAAAGAAAAGTCCTGTCATCAGGACTGCATAAAAATCAGTGGTGGGATGTTGGCTCCCTGGACAGAAGTCAGAATCAATAAGCTACATCATGCAAAGTGGAGAAAAAGAATAGGAAGTAGGGGGCAAAGAAATTAAAGGCAGGAGACATGGCAAAGAAAATGAAACCTAATCATTTGCACCAGTATTATTGACTGTGCCTCTCCACATCTTTTTCTTTGGAAGACTCCCTTGTTTCCGCCACGTCCAGATACCACTTCATCAATTGCCTTTTGTTCCTTCAACTTCTCACTTCTTTCTTTTTGAAGATCTCATCAACTCCATCCAATCATGATTTTCTTAGTCTTCCCCTTCCTCTTGACCCATTCACACATCCTTCATACTTCACCCACTTTAGTATTCAATCTGCATTCATTCACCGCTCATTTAGCAGGACTTCAAATGTGTGGACGTGGCTGCCATCTTGACCTTTCTGTGGATGCTCCTGTATAGAAGATGGGGCTTGTAAAAGGGTACAAGGTCTCTTACACAGCCTGGCTCAAGTCACAATGTGTTAAGCCAGGATTTTATATAATCTTTGAAGGTTAAACTGTAGTATCTTGGTTCACACATAATGCCATTGTAGATGGCTTCCATGTCATGGTCACAAGCAAATTATGATAATGTCATGTGTGATCCAGGCTGTTAGGACTTCGAAGAAAACTCGATGAGATGATGGTGTTTTCATTCAGTTAAGGAGCAAAGCAGAACATGGGTTGGAATCTGATAAGTGAATAAAACTCCTTAGGTTGTACAGCCAAGGATCTTTTAGAATCCAATTTTATTTTATTCCTCCTGCCTTTCTATTTCTTGCTTTGAATAAACCAGACAGTAAAATCGATGAACAAATGACTACACAGAAAAATAAATGGCTGTTAACATTTTGCCCCTAGCCAATAAGAAGAAAGAGAAAGAACGTCCTGAAATTTCTCTCCCTTCAGACTTCGAGCACACAATCCATGTTGGGTTTGATGCTGTCACGGGGGAATTCACAGTAAGTCTTCTCTTCATTGTCTGTCTATATTCCCCTGTACCCTTTCCTTTCCAGACATTAGCCTTGTACAGGTATTTCTTGAATTCAGAATGAATGCAAGTACAGAGGTAGAGCTACCCACCTGTACGGTATTCATTAGAACTAGTATGCACAGGGGGTCTATGCTGATTTTACGCCCAATGCACGTTGACTCTTCCTTCCAGTAACAGCTGCACGTGCCTTCATCATGAACCACAAGGGAGGAAAATGTCCAAACCTATTTAGGCATATGGGTCTGAAGATTTTATTGTAACCCAGTACAGGTCTCTTCCCTCCCCCAGAAGAGTTTGTCATAGGCTACGAGTTATGAAAAACTGTAGGAAAAGATCTGAAGATGCTCTGTTGATCCAGCTCATAGGATACACAAGGAGCAAATAGTTACTCTTGTTACAGAACGTCAAACTGTGGCACTCCAGATATCACTGACCTGCACTTCAAATATTGGGTAGGAGGCATGGCTAAATGAAAAGAGAGGCTGGGAGTTGTAGTTTTCATAGAGTTGTAGTGTCATAATGGATACCCCACACATCTCCGTTGCTGAATTGCTTATTGTTTAGGTTTGCCTTCCCCTTTTATTTTTGGGCGTGGAAAATTGTGGTTAAATCTAGGGTTACTTATCTCTGGTTTAGGTAGCCAGCCCTACAGGTGGGGATGTATGTGTATACTTACTAACAGTTTATATAGCCTTACCTAGTGTGAAGTTTCCAGATGTATGGGGGATGGCAACTTCTAAAATCCCCTGTCAGGAAACCAGACTAGGGAATGCAGGTTTAAGAGTAGCAGTGTTTAACAGCACAGACATCTTTCAGGTCAGTTGTCCACACCTCCTAACATGAACTGCAAACTTCCCACTGGCATATTAGTTACTAGTACAGGTAGTCCTTGCTTAACTACTGTTCGTTTAACAACAGTTCAAAGTTACGATGGCCTCAGAAAAAGTGCTTTACAACCTGTACTTGGACTTATGACCGTTGCAAACTGTTGCACTCCCCACGGTCACGTGATCATGATTTGCAACCATTTTTATGATGGTCATTAAGTGAATCATGGTTGTTAAGCAAATCACATGGTCATTAAGCAAATTCTGGCAAAAAGCGTCCATTGGGGAAGCTGGATTCACTTAATGACCACATGATTCGCTTAATGACTGCAGTGATTCGCTTAATGACTGTCGTAAAAATGGTCGTAAAATCAGGTCCGGTCACGTGGTGACTCACTTACCTGCCCCACTTAACAACCAATTTTCCAGTCCCCATTGTGGTTGTTAAACGAGGACTACCTGTAAGACTACACTTGTGAACTGCATAATTTTTTGTGACCAATAAATGGTGTAAGGAGGTTCTGAAAACTTAATATCTACTGGTTATCTGGACCTTTGTAATCTAGGTCTGATAGTCTAACTAGTTTAGAGAGAGTCAGCCCATACCATTGGCTGGCCATTGATGGCACATGTACTCAGACCTTATGGCAAATTTGAGAGCACCTATATTGTGCTGCTGATTGATCGATGATTAAGCTGTCAGATGTTCTGATGTTCAAGCTGTGAACAGAGAACCTGAAACATAGAGCTATTAAGTATGAGGCAGAGCCTGGCACCATTTGATGACTTAAAAAAACAAACAAACTACACAGAATCCTGTCCTTCTGATGAAACCAATGACAAAACATTGCCCCATTTCCAATGGCCCCTTGATATATCACTATTTATTTTATTTATTTATTTATTAGATTTGTCCCCACCCATCTCCCCCCAATGAGGGACTCTGGGCGGCTAACAACTCATTCAAAACAGTAAACAAATATACAATTAAAAGCCTATATACACAGTTACAAAAGATGGAGGTATTTATTTATTTATTGTTAAGGGTACTCACAAAACTGGAGTTACAATCTGTTTTGCAAGTTCTGCCGAACTATTTTGGAACGCCTGCAGTTCTGCAGAGACAAAACCTGCAATGTTTGGGCTGTTCTTGGTTTTGATCGGAACAACATTTATTTATTAAATTTGTATGCCGCCCAGAGTCACCCATTGGGGGAGATGGGCGGCATACAAATTTAATAAATAAATAAATGTTCCGATCAAAACCA